TTCTGATCTGGTTAACTTTAAGAGACAATTCAGCTTTCAGAGTGGGTGGCTGACCAGCAGGAGAGGAGAGCTGGTCGGAGTGTTGGAGGCAGGGAATAATCGAGGGCCGTAAGACAGAAGCAGAGTAAGATCAAAACTTTCATGTTCAAGTTGTGGTTTGAGCAGATCTAAAAAAAGAGATAGTCTTTCACATTTTTCATTGGTTTCCTTCACCAGAATATTTAGAGAGGCAACTGTGGCATCTGAATTCTCTTGCAAGCTTTCGCATACCAATAAAAAAATACAGGTCATTGAACGTTTGCAGTTTTACTCCCTTTCCATTCTAAACCACTTCTCAAATGAATAATTTTTTTTTTCCAATGCAAGGTTTCCCAAAATGGCTACTGACATTAAACTGTTGTTGGTAAAATTATGCCATTTAGGAAGTGACTTCCCTGTATTAGTTACAGAGTAAATACACTCAAGACACTTTCAGAAGACACAATTTGGGTTTACGCTGAGATGACAGTCTGGCAATGGTCAGTCAAATCAGTGGTTTGTTGACCTTATGTCCTGGGCACCCAAACTAATGGTGAGGCAGCTTCCAATAGCCGACCTGACAGGTCTTAGAAGACATAATGTTTGAACATGAACTTCCTGCTAACCATTAACAACAGAAGATAATGAAAAGAGTAGTGACAAAAAGCAATGTTGCTAATAATGAGGCAGCTTTCTCCCAGGGATATACATCCACAAATCTGATAAATAACCAAAGAATTCCTGAAAGGCAAACTTCCAGGACAAAACACACTTAGCATTTGATAGCCTGATGAAGATAAGCTGGAAATGAGATCTAACGCAAGACTTACCTCATCGCTGTGGGCCTCCGTGGCTCCCCATTTCTGAATTGAGGGACTTGGGCTTTGGTACAAAGGGGATTTTCAATAGGATCTTGGTAAGACTTCCAGGTGGTTGAACTCCCCAAAATATCACCAGATAACCCTTCACTAAACAAAAGTCACATTTAGTAGACTTACTGCAATAAGGGAGAACATCATTGTGACAGTTTTAGCAATGTCTCAGGAGAGATAAGTCAGAACTAGAATAATTGTAGGACTTTAGAGTCAAGACTCAAGTATGTTAAGGCAGGTCTTTGAAAGTGGAGAGTTGGGTAGGATTGGACAAAGTTGTGATGTCACAGTTTAGGACTGGTTGACACATGTAGGTGAGGGTCTTGATTAAACTGTTACTGATAAGGCTGTTTGAAAGAGTTCAGTTATTGTCTCAAATATATTGATTTGTTGGCATTTCCTGAAGCAAACAGTGGATTTATTTACTAGTTTGCAATCTTATCTTTCCTAGGCTAAAGTTTCCTATAAGGAATAACTAAGTCACTTTGTTATAAGTAGGTTTATGGTTTCCCACAAGTCATATTCACAGATGGTCTCAATTCTCAAAGACTGATTTAATACCAATAAAAGTAGAATTTCAAACAAAAACATCAGACGTTACAAAAATGTTCGGGCATACATCAGTAAACGAAAAATTTGATTAAAAAAAAAAAAAAAACATCACGGGGGTGCCTGGGTGGCTCAGGAGGTTAAGCATCTGCCTTTGGCTCAGGTCAGGATTCAGGAGTCCTGAGATCAAGCCACGCCCCCAAATCAGGCTCCCAGCTCAGCCGGGAGCATGCTTCTCCCTCTCCCTCTGCCCCTCCCCCTGCTCCTTCTCTTTTGCTCACTCTCTCTCAAATAAATAAATAAACGCTTAAAAAATAAATTAGAAAAACATCATGAACATTTCATTTTAAAATTACACTCTCAAGGGGCACCTGGGTGGCTCATTCGGTTAAGCTGCCTTCGGCTCAGGTCATGATCCCACAATCCTGGGAACAAGTCCCACATCGTGCTCCCTGCTCTGTGGGGAGACTGCTTCTCCCTCTGCCTCTGCCTATCTCTCTGTCTCTCATGAATAAATAAAATAAAATAAATAAACAAATAAAATTCACTCTCAGGACAAATATTACAATAAGCTCAAACTTAATACCCAACAGAAAGAGCACATACAGAATTGGTTCCAAAATCAACTGTGTACAAAGTCACCAAGAAAGCCTCAATGCAGCTTTAATCTCAACATCATCTAGACTACAACTAAGTATAATAAAATTAAAAACTATTAGAAAAAATATAAAAACTATTAGAAAAAAATTTCATACATCTTTTTCCAACAACAACAAAAAAAGAAAATCGAATAACATCTCAAAGAAAAAAAGTCCAAAGAAAATTAAGGTCAATTTACAACTGCTCTCCAAAGAATGCACAACAGCCAAAAGTGGCAGATAAAGGTAGAGCAGAGGAATTCTCCATTTTTACAATGAAGACACTCCAACAATGAATGCAGGATGGTCTTCTGAGACTGCGGTCTTTTTTTTCTCTCAAGGATACTTTCTGCCAGCACTTCTTTTACTTAAAATAATAAGTGGTAAAACGGTAACATTTTTGAGAGGGAAAAAAAGCCTGTATGTGCTTACAGCTGTATTTCAAATAAAATAAATCAGTTCACATGATACATTTTTGATACATTTTGATTCTGTTGATTTGGCAGTCTTCATTCTCTGCCAGGCCCTAGGAGTGTTGCAAATGCCTGAGATTCTCAATGTGGTTGCCTATTAGGGTCCAATTAAACCAGAATTCTTTGATGGTGCACTCAAGCATGTATTTTTGAAATCTCCTTTTGGTATTTTAAGTGCAAAGTTGAGAATAGCTATAATAGGTAATGGTTAGAAAGAAGCTCCAGCTTCTACTTCAGTCCTACTAGACTGGCCTTAGCTCTTCCCTTTTCACAGCTTTATCAGTATCTGAAGACAAATATGGCAAACTGATGAAATATGAGTAGAAGGACAGCAAGAAGTGTAAGAGACCCAGAGCGCCAGCAACCCAAAAACATCTCAACATGCTGTGATCTTGGGCTGACTCACTGAGTGGACAGAACATAATAAATAACAGAGCTCAGATCTTGGGCACAGTAAACCAACTTCACAAATGCAGGGTAATGTACGTGGGATTGAACAGCAGTACACATGAAAAATTCTTGAGGAATTTAGATCTTAAGTGTAGTGTGAGTCAATACTCATTTGGCTGCCAGAAAATAAACTCCATTCGAGGCTGTATCAACAAATGCACAATGGCTGGACAAGGAAGACCCTTTCTACATGCTTGTAGAACACTTTCAGTACTGAGCCTTGTTCTGAGCAGTAGACTGACTATATGAAGAACATGGAAAATTAGATTAAGGTTGACGAGGACTTGGAGCTGTCATTTTCATAAAAAGGATATTTAGCTGGGAGGAAAGCTAGCATATGGAGAACATGACAGATGTTTTCAAAATATTCTAAGAACTCACATGTGGAAGTTAGATTAGATTTATTGTGTAAAGTCCAGAAGTCGAAAGCAACGGAGACGTGGAAGGAAATGCTTTTCGGCAATGCTGATTTTCAAAAAGCACAGAGGACTCCCTGTCCCTGGAGATAGTTGAGCCTTCAAGTACCTAATGGGTGGGAGGAGTTTCAGAACTTGAAGAGAGCTGAATCAGGTAACAGAGTCTCTTCTCAGTCTAAGATTTTATGATCAGTGTATCTAAAAGTGGCTCGGGTTTTTCATGTTCTGTACACCGTTGAAACCCTGTAGCTAGGTCATAGGCAACTCGTCCAGTCAGCCCCAAGGAGGGAGACAGCCCGGGCAATCGGCGCCACAACGTGATTTTCCAATGGGGGAAATGCAGTGACTTCACTTTCTACCATATGAACAACACACGTGTCTCTTTATCACTCTCTTTCTCACTGAAACCCAACTTTCCTGCAGAAACTGACACTGTGTGTCTTTCCTTCCCGTGAAGATTCAGGCTCTTCATCCCCACCCGCCAGAAGTTTGGGATTCCAAGGGGATCATGAGCATTCATCCCAATAGCCCGCACGGCACTCTGAGCTCTCTCCCTTAGTTCGGGCTGCGCATTAAGTTACCCAGATGCAGGGAAAGAGGGGCCCGCGGCGGGCTCCAAGGCCCCGGCGGGGTCTCCGCCATTGTGATGATGTTTTTCTCGGACCTTCTGCAACTCCGGGACCGTTTGCAAACCTCGAGCGGGGCGCGGAGGGCGAGGCGTGCCGGGCACAGGGCAGGAGCCCGGGAGCGGCCGAGGACAAAGGGTCGGCCGGCCCGCCGCAGTACGCCGACTTCGTCGCGCTCCCCTCCGCCCGGCGCGGCCAGCCTGCCCCAGCTGAACTTGCCCCTCGGGCCGCGCTCCCGGGAGGGGGAGGGAAGAGGGGTGGGGACGCGCGGGGCGCCGGGGCGGAGGCGCGGGCAGCAGGGAGCGGAGGAGCGCTTCCGAGGGAAAGTGAGAGGGGAGGGCGGCCGGGCTCGGCACGCTCCCTCCCTCGGCCGCTTTCTCTCACATAAGCGCAGGCAGAGGGCGCGTCAGCCATGCCCTGCCCCTGCGCCCGCCGCCGCCGCCGCTCGCCCCGCGCTCCGGAGCCGCCCGCGCCGCCGAGCTCCCCGGCCTGGCCGCGCGGCGCCCCGCCGCCCTCCTCCCGGCCGCCGCTCGCTGCACCGGGGAAGGGGAGGGGAGGGAGGAGGGGGCCGCAGGCTCGGGGGGATCGGAGGGGCCGAGCAGCGCCGAAGGGGTCGGCTTTGCCCCCCTCTTGCCAGAAAGCGAAAACAGAAAGGCGAACCGAAGAGCCGTCCGCCCTCGCCCTCGCCCTCGCCTCACCTCGCGGGCCCCGAATGCGGGGAGCTCGGACGTCCGGTTTCCTGTGAGGCTTTTACCTGACCCCGCGCCCCTCCCCGGCACTGGCCCGGAGCGCGACGCGCAGCGTTGGGAGCGCCGAGCCGCGGACCGCTGCCGCCGCCTCCGGCCGCCCTCGGGGGTCGCCGGCGGCTCTCTGCGGAGGGAGCGCAGCGTCGCGGGGGCGCCACGCGCCCACCCCGCCCCCACCGCGGACCGGCCGCCGCGCTCCCGGTCCTTCCACCATGCACTTGCTGGGCTTCTTCTCTCTGGCGTGTTCCTTGCTCGCCGCTGCGCTGCTCCCGGGTCCGCGCGACGCGCCCGCCGCCGCCGCCGCCGCCTTCGAATCGGGACTCGGCTTCTCCGACGCGGAGCCGGACGCGGACGAGGCCCAGGTAGGTGCGGGGCCGCGCGCTCCGGGGTCGCACGGGGGCGACTGCGGGGGCGCGGGGGTGTTCGGGATCCCGCGGACCCGGGGGCCGCGCAAAGTGCGTGTCGCTGTTTCACCGTCCGGACGTTGCGTCCAAAGTTAACCGAGCTGACTGCACGCTTCCTCGGAGAAAAGTTTTCTTCTTGGTTTTTGTTTGTTTGTTTGTTTTTGTTGTTTTTGTTTTTGCATAAAGTGGTTACTCAGTATGAAAGCAAGTCAGGAGAAAGCAAAATAGAAGCAGCCACAGAGGTGGCTGGTGATAGAGATCACAACCTGCTTGGGAGCAGTCCCCGCGGGTGTGCCCAGCGGGCTTGAGCCCTCGCGGGGCGCGCGGCTCAGGAGAGCCCGAGTTCGTCCCGGTCGGGAGTGCTCTATTCTTTCCCTGTCAGGTCAGTGGCAGTCCATCAGGGGCTAGGACGACCAGTCAGCCGAGGTTTATTTTCCCGCAGCGGTCCTCTTACTTGGAGCACTAGGCGATTTTAGGGAAAGTGTAAAAAGAATTTAGTCACCGGCTTGAGGGCTGAAGACTTCAGATTCACTTGGGGAAGTTGGCCAAAGTTGGGCTGCAACAGGATCTCATGTAGATCACAATCAGGCATGACTTTTCAACTTTATAAATTCTGCGTTTCTGAAATCTGGGAAAATACTGAAAAGTAAGGTGGATCGTTTTGTTTTGTTTATCAAATAACAGATGTTGTTTAACCCTTCGCCGGAAAATGTTGCCAAGGCACTTCTGAGATATTCTGACTTTCAAAAAGGAGTTACTGTATTTGTGCCTGCTTCTGACTTGCTCTTCCAAATGTGTACCTAAAACGTTCAGATCTGACAGAAGGATGGATAGTATGCTTAATAGAGTTTTGGAACTCCTGAAGAAGTTTTATATTGGACATACTATGGGACGCCTCTTTTCAAAGACTTGCAGTACCCCTGACTGGGTACAGAATGCAATGCTTTATTTCAGCCTCTGGCCAGTGGTATGTGACTGTCAACTGGGAGGTGACTTAACATATGTTCAATGTGTAGAAACTGAATTGCCTTCACAGTTATATTTTGAAACACGTTTTACCATTGAGAAGAATAATTTTTAAAAAACCAAACTACCTTTAAATTTTAAATTTGGGGGACAAATTATTTAAAAAAAAACAGAATTTGTAATTCAATATAGGGGTCAAGGGAAAAAAAACCTTGAGAGTAAAAAAATGTGTTAAATTGCAGAACAGAGTGTATTATGTGATTTGTAAGATAATTTTCAACACAAATACTTAATGTTGGTAGAACTATTATCATGAGAATGTCTTCCTGTGCTTAAATGCCACAAAAATGTAGCATTAGACCCATTAACACTTCCTGTAATTTGAATGCCTTGGATATCATGATATCTATTCACTTTCTGTCTCTGAGGAGTCAAATTATTAAAAGTTTGACTTAGTAAGGCAACACCCAGAGAGGTGGCTGGTGAAAGAGATCACGTAACCTGTTTGAGAGCAGGTTATTGCTTGTGGTAACTTCCTTGAGTTTATAGTAGGAACGTGTGAAGAAGGAAGTAAAAGAAGTCTTTCCTGAGAAGCCAAAAGCCTGTATGAGAGTCACTCACTGCTGGGTCAGCTTTGAGTGAACGTGCCCATGTGTGCGCATGCATGTGTGTTATGGATGGGCTTGCAGTCAGAGGTTCAAGTTAATTTATTTTTCATCTTCAAAATCATCTTCGTTGGTGATGTAATCAAATCTTTCTTTTGCCGTGAAAAGATTTATGTATCTTTATTTGCTTTTCATATTTAGCCATCTTTTATATCCTGCATGGTGAATATGAGTTGATATTCTGTATGTGATAGGGACTCTTTTTCACTTGATGAAACATCACTTTAGATCTCTGAGTTCCACAGCCCATAAGACAGTATATTATTTCTGCACTAAAGTGTTCCTCATTGGTTGAGTGAAGGCTTGACAGGGCAAGTGTCATTAATGCTTTCAGTGAAATTGCTATGTCCTTGCCATGAGATTCCCAAGAGACCTGGTCCAAAGACTCCATGTCTCTCCCTAGTGGCCTAAAGAAGTGACTCATGAGGAGGTAAAGCTTGGAGAGGAACTGATTATTAATTTCCTGTGAACTACAGAAGCCCCAAGAAGAGATTTCAGAAGGTAAATAAAAGACACTAAATATACAAAATCTTTGACAAATGCAGAGTTTTGGTACTTTACACTTAGGAAGTATTTTTGTGTTTAAAAAATACAAAACAGCTCACAAACTATAAACCGAGCTTAGCCATCCAGTCCTTCACCACACCCCCAAAGCCATACAGAAAACGGGAGGTAAAATCACAAATACAAACAAGATTTCCTTGTTCCTTGACTTACATTTGCATTTATTAGGTTCCTCTTTCTAATGACTCCTAGTTATATGACTTACTAAAAGATCCTAAAATGTTTCCTGTTAGTGCAAGGAAGCCAACATCAGAAAAGTTAGGCAAACAAAGTACTGCCTATTCTATAATTAAAATTAAGTAGGCATGATGAGAAAAAGAGGAAATATTTAAAATTATCATCCAACTAAAAAACGTGCAAAACCTAGAAAGAGCACCAGATTGCTAAAATGCAATCATTTGCCCGCATGAGATTGCGTAGAGTTCACTCTGATTGGTTGGAGTTGAGGAGTTTTGATTTTTAAAAGAAAAAATTGTTTATAATTTAAAAAGGGAGAATTATGTATAGTATACTTTTATTCCAAAAAGTGGGTTAGCAGGGAGTATAAATACCTAGATCCTTATATATTTTAGAGCAATGAATTCAAGGAGAGCACGTCTTACGTTGCACATGCCTATGTTAAAGATCAAAGTCAACAAAAGAAAGCTTAAAGATTTATAATCTTGTATCAATTAAGGGAATGATCTAGAAGATCAAATATTATTGAATGAGCAAGTATAACTTATTTTCTGCTTTACATAAATAACTTTAAATATATCTACTTTATAGCTTAAATGCAAAAAAGAGATTAGTCTTAATACTAATTGCTTTAATGAGAATAGCTATTTTAAACTAAAATAGTAAAAGCACATATGGTTTATGGTTACTATCACAAAAAACTTCCTAATAATGTCAACTAGTTTGCAACATGCCAGATTTTCTTTCTCCACTGTTTATAATTCTGCATACTTTTGTACTTGTTTTTATTTGTATTTCCTGATTCAGATTAATCAGTGATGATGTTTTTCAAAATACCATGTATGTGTTAACTGCATTAGAATTCCCTAGACGTCTTTAATTTTATTCCCCTTACCTGAGACCAACCAAATCTCTGGATTTGGGTCTAGGAATATACATTTTTAGCTAACATCCTAAGTCATTCTCACGCACAATGACAGTTTTAGGGTAACTGATCTATGGTGTGTAACAATGACTAATTTCATTGGTTTTGGCCTCTTCATTATGTAACTGTTGAGTTTGCAGGGTAATCTGTTAGGCGTGGAGCATGTTAAAAGACATAAACCGTTTTTCCTCTCTTCAAGGAGCTTACAACTCAGATAGAAAAAATAAAGGCTTACGCACAAAAAATACTGTGAGGTATTAGGGGAATGGCACCGAAGCATTGTCTGTGTCCTGAAGTTTGCACAGGAGAGTCAGCCATGTGGCCTACTTGGTCTGAGTGTCTTGACATGAGGCAAAACTTGGGCTGTAACCTGGGTGAGAATTTCCAGCAGATGACTAGACTATATCAAGCACACGAATCCCTTTCATGCCGTGGATGGGGTGAGAAGGTAGGAAGGGAAGGGGTTATATAGAGTAACAGTGAAGAATCTTAACTATGAATAAGTTTTTGGAGATGGGTGGGGTTGCATTGCATATGATCTAAGCTACTTTAAGGTGGATTACGGAGGGTGATTCATGCTCTGAGCACCTGAAGGACACGGGTAATAAGAAAAGTATTGAAATCACTTCTGGGATTGATTAGAGGTCATAAAGACTTGCCGGGGGGGCATGATCTAGTGAAGAAGCAACAACAGTATTTTAGAAGGGAAGTGATGAAGAGAGCAGAGTTGGGGCAGTGGGAGGAGAAGCCAAAGCTGTCACAGAGGAAGAACCCATAGATTTGCTGACTAATTCATAAGAAAGATTAGGGAGTGGAAGAAATGAACCTTGGCATCGATATTTTAATCGTAGGACAATGTGGGTCCTACTTGCAGGATTAGGGCATTGCAGAGAAGAGCAGAGACTGTTTTTCATGGATCATTGATGGATGATGACAGCGTTATTCCGTAAATCACTTAAGATTTTAGTAGTCTAAAAACTCTTTGGAGAAACAAAATAAGCTTTACAAATTTACATCCCATTAGAGGAAAATAATTGCCTAGGATCAACAGGACTTAAAATGTGTAATATCCTTAAAGTATTTGAGCATTTGACAAGTACTGTTACAATCCCAAAAGGAAAATTAACAGTCTGCATATCGTGCTGCTCTGCATTGAAAATGGAGAGGTAAATTTTATTCCACTAAATTGGGCCATAAATGCAACTATAATGTGGAGTCATGGACTGGCAGCCTTCTCTGTGCTTCATGTTGCGGTACCCACGACATTTCTCTGATGTACTGCAAATGTCCATACTTTCTGGCAGCAATCTTTAGAAAGGAGGTCCAATGGTAGGGAAATATGAAATGTCTGTGAAAAGTGGAAACCTGTGAACGCTCTTGTGATTTCACCTCACTCTGCATCAATTTACGTTGGGGGCCCAGAGTTGCAGTCCCTAAGAGCCCCTTACTGAGGAGGGCAAAGGATTACATAATGGAAGGATTGGACTCTTGTCCCCTTTCCCCAAGTATCTACTCTTTAATGGCAAGTCTACAGTTTTTATGATTACGAATTGCCATAGAGTATATGATGAAGTGTTTCGTAAGCCTCCTCTCTTGTAAGAGATTTCTGACCCAACTCTGAATGGTGCTGGCGATCTATGGTTTGAAACATAAAAGAGCTC